CCTCCCCCCTCCATCCATCACCCATCCACCCATCCATCATCCATCCATCCATCATCAATCCCCCCATCCATCATCCATCCATCCATCACCCATCCCCCCATCCATCCATCCCCCCATCCATCTGCCTACTCATTCACCCATACACTTCATCTAGTCACCCTCCATCTCCCACGGAAATCCTGGGTTTGATGTCCAGCACGCCATAAGTCACCCATCCTCCCATGTCCCCCACCAACCCTCCCATCCCACCCTGTATCCACCCCCCAGGGGGCGAGGCCTTCCATGGGGAATCATCAAAGTCTGTCACATAACATGTCTCTAGGCTAAGAGAGTATACCTCTATGTGGAATGGGCTCCCAAAGTCCATACATGCACTAGGAATAAATAGTGATCCACTACTAGAGACCCCATAGCCCGCCCAGGGCCCCATAGACTTCCCAGATGGACTAACTGATACCCACATTCCGGGGGCCTGGTTTGGTCCTATTCTGGTTCCCCAGCTGTCAGACTGGGTCTGTGAGCTCCCACTTGCTCAGGTCAGCTGTTTCAGTGGGTCAAGGGTCATTCTTAACTATGTAGTGAATTGGGCTACATGAGACTCCATCTCAAAAGAAAAAAAAAGCTTTACTTATACAGAAAACACATGCTGATACATATTGGTCATCTTTATTCTTTTGCAAATTTGCCTCATCTTTAGAAGGAACCATGTATTAGTTAGCGCTCATCTCACTGTTACCACAACACCTGACGAGACGGGAGAGGAGGCCAGTTTTATTTCGGGTCATGGTTTTAGACAGGTCTAGTCCATCAGCCCAGTTAATGGGGTGGGAGTGTGTGGTGGAGGCTATTATGTTTACAAATGAGTATGTTTATACAATGAGACAGACGTTGGAAATTTAATAGAGGGGTTGGGTCAAGAACTAGACACCTGTGACACAAAGCTAAGGTTTTCTATACAAGTGATATTTTGAAATTCGATCTCTTTATTCTGAAAAAAAATGTTTTTTTAAACACAAGTGTGGGGCTGGAGAGATGGCTCAGAGGTTAAGAGCACCGACTGCTCTTCCAGAGGTCCTGAGTTCAATTCCCAGCAACCACATGGTGGCTCACAACCACCTGCAATGAGATCTGGTGCCCTCTTCTGGTGTGCAGATAGACATGGGAGCAGAATGTTGTATACATAATAAATAAATAAAAATTTAAAAAAGAAAGAAGAATATTAAAAATAAATAAAACACAGGTGTGTTGCTTGCTTTTGTATGCTTATCTAATATCTGGGTATTCCGTCTTGCAGTTTTAAACTCAAATAACTTCTCTGCTGGCAGACTCCTACCTAATCCTAGGATCTTATTTTCCTGCAGTAATGATGCTAACCTCTTCCTGTCCAGGGCTGATATTGTCTTTCTTCCTTTTTTCTTCTTCCAGGGCTTTATGGAGTGGTCCAAAGCTCCACAGCAAACAACCATCGTGTTGGTAGTATGTGTGCTGTTCCTGTTCTTGGTTTTAACTGGAATGCCAATGATGCTCCATATTTAACTGGATGGAAACCGTAAGCCCCATGTCCCATTAAGGAACTGTCCTGGCTAGAAACCAGGAATGGGTACTTGACCATTACAAAATGCCTTTCAAGCATCCATTGAGACGAGTCTATTATTATTTTTAATTTATTGATTTTAAATATTTATTTCTAATTATGTATGTGTGTCTCTCTGTGTATGTATGTGCTACTGTGAGTGCAGTGCCTGCAGAGGCCAGAAGAGGGAGTCTGAGCCCTGCCCCAAAGTCGTAGGCAGTTGCCTGATATGGGTGCTGGGAGCTGAACTCTGGTTCTCTGCAAAAACAGTAAGCACCCTTAACTGCTGAGCTGTCTCTCCAGCTTCATGAGTTATTTTTTCGTATGAGGTTTTTTTTTTTTTCATTACTGAAATTCATTTAAATAAGTATATCATTGAAGGAATACATCATTGATGGTAAAAGCACATATCATTTTGCACACTGCTGAGAATTTTCTTTATTGCTGAGAAAGAGAAATGGGTATTAATTATAAGACATTATGAATTAGAAGACATCTCTTCAGAGAAGGTGAAAAATGTGCAACTTAGGGTCAATGTTGAACCATCTTCTGTCTTTTAAAAAAATACTATATTACAATGTAATGTTTTGCTTGCATGTGTGTCTATGTATCGAGTCTGTGCCTGGTGCCTGTGGAGGTCAGAAGAGGGCATTGGATCCCTTGAAACTGGAGTTACAGATGGTTTTGAACTACCGTGTGGGTGCTGGGAATTGAACCTGGGTCCTTTGTAAGAAAAGCCAGTGATCTTAACTGCTGAACACTCTCCAGCCTCAGTATCATAGCATCTTCAGTATGTATAGTCTTTCCATATGCTGCCTTCTTTTTCTTGCTATTTTATGTAAGGACTCTTGCCTCTGTCCTAACATGTTCAGTTGGTGCTATTTCTGTGAAGTTTTGGTCTCATGGTTTAAGCTTGCATCGTTGAGAGAGCCGAGTAACTTTTGACACCTTTTAATGCTTTTGAATAATTTCTGTAGCTTGAGAAATATCAGGTCTTTGGTGGTTTAAAAGAATTTACTGTGGCTGGAGAGATGGCTCAATGGTGTAGAGTATCACTCTAGCAATTTGCTCTGAAACACACTCATCAGACAGCTCACAACTGCCTGTAACTCCAGCTCCCAGGGGATCAGACGCCCTCTTCTGGCCTCTGGGGGCCATGGCACTCATGTGTGCATACTCATATCTCCCTCCCCATACATATAATTAAAAATAAATCTTTAAAATAGCTTTTTTTTTTTTAAAGAATTCACCAGTAATCAGTTCTGAGATTTGTGAGGGGGAAATCTCAGGCAATGTTTGGATAGAGGTTTGAGTCACCATAACTCACTTATTAGTCATTACTATGATAATTCTATATCAGTAGCTTGTGAATAGTTTTTTACTTCTTGGATTCATTTGAATGATTTATAATAATTTTTTATCCTCTAGAGAGTTCTTCATTCTGCATACCTTTTGAGATTATAAGCTTAATTATGAACACTATTTTTATAATTAAACAAAAAGGTTCTCTGCATTTTTTTCCCTATCACTGTTCTCCTTTTAACTTGTCTCTATGGCTTACTTGTTACTCGGTTTTTACCAAACACTTACCTGGTTCTTCTTCTTATTTTTCCAAAGATCTGGTGTTTGACTTTATTCACACCTCTTATTTCTTTTATTTGTTGTTTATTGTTTTACATGTTAAATTATAAAATTTATCTTGTGCTTAGTTCTACCTTTATTTCTTGTGTCACATTTTAAGCTGGATACCGAATCTAAATACTCTCTGTACTTGCAATAATAACGTATTTAATAATAGAAACGTCTTTCTGGATATAACCTTGGCCACGGTTTGACATTATATAATCAACATCCTTGCTTGTTGTGACATTTTTTTTTATAGCACTCCTACTAAACGCTTGGAAGTACAGTGGTTTAGTTTGCTTTCTGTTTAACAACAC